ATATATGATTTCATCACTTTCGTTGCGTCATTCAATTATTCATATTTCATTTTCTTATTGATTGCTTCGTGAATCAAAATAAGACAAATTCTCTTCGTTCTTCTGGAACTGTCTTTTCTCATCATTCTTTTGGAATAATATTTTCTCATCGTTCTTCTGGAACGATATCATTTTCTCCCCCTAATGGCAGGAAAATTGTCTTATCAAAATGACAGTCCGCAAACCAAGCGGTAAATATATCCCCAGTCAAGGGTTCTAAATATTGAATGATAGATGATGTTCAACATCAATGCCCATTTCAGTACGTTGTGGCAGTGCAATAGGCACATAGATAACACAACCAAAAACTCGTAAATGTATAATGTTTGGCTAGTTCCCAAACACGAGTTGTACTGAGCAATATTGATGGTTGGAAACTGGTCTCATCCGAACTTAATAATGCGTCATGTAAAATGACATGTCCCCATGTAGAAAACTGGTAATTTCGTTTTCATGAGCAGAGCGTTGGTAATTGATTTCACCCACTTAATAAATGCTTCTGCTAAACCATTTTGAGTATGGACATGAGGAACTTCTGGTCCTTGTTTAATAGTCTGTGAACTGAGACTCTTATGTCCTTTATTATAGTTAAGTTGAGGCACTGCGGCACTTTAAACTTACGGTACTCATCAAGGAATGTCCTGATCTTCAGGATCAAAGGACTTCATGCCTGATCTTTTAGTATGATGGAACTTCGGGTCCAATCATTTTATATGATGAGGATCAAGAAACTGCAGGTTCTGATCTGATCAAGGAACTTTGGATCTTATATATACTCATTGTAACAAAAGATAAGTACAATAAATAAATTAAAGCAATAGGCGGTAATTCCAGCCATAATGAATGAATTGCATTTAAATAAATAAAGCTTTTGACAAGGGTTTAATTCAGCACCATTAAAACTTAAAGCAATAGGCGGTAAAACCGTCCATGGTAAATAAATTGCTTTAAAGTAAATAAAGCTTGTGACAAGGGCTTTGATTCAACACCATTTACATAAATATCAAAGCTTTAAAACAAAGGGTAATAATTCTACCCACTGTAAATAAATTGCTTTAAATAAGTAGAACTTGTGACATGGGCTTTAAACCAACACCATGCACATAAATATGCCAAAACAGAAAATGCAATGATTAAGTCCTCATGTTTTGCTTTTTCATTTTCTTGGTCTGCCACTTCTTTTGTTTCATCCCTTTTATTTTTATTATTATTTCACAGTTCGAAGTCATTTTGGTTACTCAGTAAATAATAGTAACAATAAGTTCTAATTGGTGTTCCTCCTCCGGTGAGTTTCGAAAAAGTCGAAACGATTCCCATAAGTTTTGGAGTCAAGAGTGTCTGCAACTTATGAGAAGATCAAACCGTTAGATTTAGTTCAAAATTTAGTATGATATGGATAAGAGGATACCAAACAACTTTCGTGAAGAAACAATTTCGATTTGAACTACCGAAATGGAGTTTTGGTACTCATAAGGTGGCTGCCCAGTTTTCTGCGGAAATTGGAAACGGGTTTGGTATTTCAGACATCTGCGACGATCGCACCATTAACATTTTCTGAAATTTTGATATGTTGTAGATACTGAGCAGACGAACAACTTTCAAGAAGAAAGTATTTCAATCCGAGGTCCGCAAGTTGGAGTTCCGAGGCTATTTACATGGCTGTCAAATTCTCTTACAAATTTTGAGTCTTTTACTCTTTTGTTTCTGCAAAGGATGATATACAGTCATATAACAATATATATAGTTGCTTCAAGAAAATCAATTGTACTGAGATTTGAAGATGAAATGAAATTTTTTTTTTCTTATCTATGAGATTCCAGCTGAAGGAGGTGAACAGGATTTGTGGCGTTGTGCTTTCCACTGACATGAGAGCTTCTCGTGCTGATAACGTGTTGTAAAATCGACTGTGGGTGCAGTGGAATAAATGAAACAAAACACAAAATTTACGAGGTTCCTCTACAGTCAGTGTGACTGGAGTACGTCCTCGGGGCAGCAGTGGTGCTTTCATTATAATTTGAAATAATAGGAGTACAAAGATAACTCTCTCTATTATCTCCTCTCCTCTTCCTCTCATTTCTCTCTTTCTTTTCCTTCCTTTCTCTCCCGTGAACCTCTCACATCTATCTATGCCTTTGTTGTGTTTCATAAGGCTTGTTTTTATACAAGTAAATCACATGCTAAATAGTGGAAGGGCAACTTGCCCATTATTTGAGTGGACATTCATTTCTACAACAGGGAAGACTTGACAATAAACAATTATTTCAAATGAAAACCTATGAAAATGATTTGAAAACTTTGAGTTTTAACGATAAAAATAAAATAAAGGGTAAAATGAATAGTACTAAAATTGATTTTTTAATGTAAAAATGTGATTTTTCTTTAAAGATAACAGCATCGGGAGTTTTTCGTTAAAATTCTCTTATTTCAATCCCCTTTTATAATAAGTTGATACTAAACTCGTCATCCATATAAGTCAAATATAAAACTTTTCACTTACAAATTGAGAATAATATCACCAAACCGTTATATTCGGTTCCCATCTTTTAATTTAAAAAGGAGAAGTGACACATTGGAAAATATACATGAGGAATGGTACCTACCTTCTTTCTTTTGTATAGAAGGATTAGACGGACATATCTCTTCGTCAAATTCGGATTTGAGATGATTTTAAAAGACGTTAAAATCCTAGTGTAGTCAACTAAAAGATTTTAAAGGATTTTATAATCCATTCAAATCTAGGTGTATTCAATTAAAACATTTTAAAAGATTAAAATTCATCTAAATCTAAGTGTATTAAAAAAATTAAGATTTTGGAAGATTTCAATAAGTTGTAAATTTTATGGGATTTGAGAGCCAAAAATATATATAACCAAGACTAAAAAGAATTCAACCTCACCCCTTAGGATTTCAAATCCTTCCACCACAATGCACCACAATCCATTCAAATTCTTAAAATCCATATGAATTTTGTAGGAGTCCTTAATCCTCTTAAATCCTATAAAATCTATCACTTTCCTTTAAAATCTTTAGTTTAACTACACCACCTAAGCTTCCTCTGAAGAAAAAAATGTTTGCTGCACCGAAAAACCCCCCGCCCGTCCCCTTTATTTTGTTGCGCGTGGGGGGAGGGAAAAAGTTGTCATCTTTTCGTCGTAAAATACTATCTGATGCAAAATACTATTTGCTCTATGAAACTACGGGTCGTATATGTTTGAAGACCAAATTTATTTCACATTTGCAAACCCCCAAAATTTTGTTGAGTTCGGTTTTTGCCCTCGTAGTTTAAATATGTCTATTTTGTTATTTTGTTTTGGAAAAGTTATAGCAATAGTTCTTTAATTTAGCCCAATTTGAGCAATGATCCCTCAACTTGAACTCAATTATAGCAGTGATTCTTTCAACATGACTCGTTTTGACAGAGTTAACGAAAATGACAATAGCTTCATATTTTGAGGAGTTAAGGGATAGGGACCATATTGAGTCAAAATTGAGAGACCATTGCAACAATTTCGTCTTCTATTTTAATGTTTGTAACTTGTAATTGTTGTCAATTTTCGTGAGACCCTCACATGAAGGGGTATTTTGAGTTTGTGAGGAGAGAAAAAGTTTTGATCTTTTTGTCGTTTTTGTTGTGGATTTTTTCATCACTATCTGAAGCGAAATGGTGAATGTTTGCTCCGTAATGACTAGTCTTAACTTCTAAGGTCCAAATTTCATTCTTAGGTCTCGTAGTTTTGTTGAGTTTTGTTTTTAGCCATTGTAAATTAAACGGTGTAAACTTTGTCTTTCTAGTTTAGCAGTCGATGCAATGTGGCTTACCAAAAAAATGAACACAAATGGAATAAAATAAAAGCAGAGTTTTATGTCCCAATCTCCAACTAACCCAACTCCATCCAAACCACTCCATCATCCAATCATGGAAGATTCTACACAATTTCATGATGCTTATATAATTCAAAAGGTTGGACATGTTATCTTTGTTCATTGCGTGAGATTTTATATTTGAGATCCTAAATGAAAAATGAATAAACGAATATTAAATTTATCTAAATATGTAAAAAGATTCCAATTTGGTTATATAAAGTTGATGATATTATTTTAGTTAACTTGACTAACTCTATAGTTGCTTTATAAAACTTATTATTTTGAAATTTATATATCCTCATTAACTTACAATTTGATTTTATATTTTTATAAAAAAAATTACATTTCGAGAGTAATTACATGTTTTTGAGTTGAAAGGTGAGTAATTGGGAACATTGCAAACCACTTAAAGTTTGTTGTCTTTTTTATTTATTTATTCAGTAATGTATAAAAAGTGGAAGATATAAAAAGAAAAATATTGCAGAAGACTCCGCTATAAGCAATTGTTTGAATCATCTTTTATAATAAGTTGATATTAAACTCGCCATCCACATAAGTCAAATATAAAACTACACTTACAAACTAGAAAAAATAAAATAAAATAACACTAAATTGTAGTATTCAATTCCCATCTTTTAAATTAAAAAGGAGAAAAGACACATTGCAAAATATACATGAAAAATGAAACCTAACTTTTTTTTTTTTTTATTAAGTAAATTTTGCAAAGAAGGATTATGTGAAACTAGCTTTTCGTCAAAAGTTGTAGACGAGATACCAACCTTCTTCTAAAAGAGAAAAGAACGTCGTACTCAGAAAGCCTGCGGGTCCCCCTCTACCGAAAGCTACCTTCCCCAATATACATATATTTCTAATGCATTTTGGTTATTGAGAGTATAATATAACATAAAATCAAATTAAGAACATAATATTAGTTTCGAACTTTTCCCTTCTCTCAATAATAATATTTTTTTTAAAAAAAAACATAATATTTGTTGGCATTGGGCAAATTGTGATTGGTGTAATTGAAAATTACAAAGCAACTCAAATTTGTCAATTTCCTCTTCCCCCGTTCTCTTTATCTCTCTTCCCATCAAATTTCTCGCCACCTTCCTCCCAAAGTCTACCAACTCCACAACCATTCCACCAAGTCAATAAAATCCCCCTCTCTCTCTCTCTCTCTCTCTCTCTCTCTCTCCATTCTCCCTGCGATACAACAATCCTCCCCTTCAATCCAATTCAATTTCCACCATGTTGTTGTTGGTAGACTGCTCCGGCTGCCACACGCCGCTGCAGCTGCCGCCCGGCGCTCGGACGATCCGCTGCGCCCTGTGCCACGCCGTCACTCGCATCGCCGACTCCCGCGCTCTTCCTCCTCCCCCTTATTCCTCCTCCTCCTTCTCCTCATCCTCCTCATCTTACCACCACGCACCTCCTCCATCCCCTTCTCCCTACACCCACGCGCCGCCGGTGCCTTCGCCGTCGGCGCACGGGCGGAAGCGGGCCGTCATATGCGCCGTGTCGTATAAGCGGTCCCGGCACGAACTCAAGGGCTGCATTAACGACGCCAAGTGTATGAAGTACTTGCTGGTCAACAAGTTCAACTTTCCCGAGTCCTCCATTCTCATGCTCACCGGTAATCTCTTGAGCTTCCCATTTCTTCGATTCTTCAAAGTTTAAACTTTTTTGATGTTGCGTATGAGTTGAATTATATGGGTATTTATCTGTTTAATTTTAATTAAATTTCAACTTATGGTTCAGCAAAGACTAGTTCTTGCGTTCTTATCTTCCATAGATTAGAGTTGCAAATCATTGAATTATTCTAAATTTTCTGTAAAGCATCGATCTTTTTTGTCAAGTGGGTATTTTTTCTACAGTATGAACAGTTGTGCAATTACCATTTATGTGGTTAGGTACGATTAAGCTTGAGCGGATGTGCTCCCCTTAAACACCCAAGCTCGAATTCCCGTCCACATTTTAGATTAGTTTGAGTATAATATCGCTCGTATAAAAACAATAACAATTGAGAATTCAAAATCATTACTTGGTGTTTCGTATCTAAATCGTGTTTCTGTGAAATGGTAGTAAAAACCTGCTTTGAGAAATGGTAGTAAAAACTTGCTTTGATAATGCACTATGGTTTCTTTAGAATGTAATTGGTACAATGTTCCTAAAACCGTAATGTACAAACTTCTGACCTTAATCTAAATCTCTATGTGGAGTGTTTCTTGCAGAAGAAGAAGTTGATCCTTATAGGCGCCCAACCAAGCAAAATATGAGAATGGCAATGTATTGGCTTGTGCAAGGTTGTCAAGCAGGGGATTCTTTGGTGTTTCATTATTCTGGTCATGGATCACAACAGAGGAACTACACTGGGGATGAGGTGGATGGATTTGATGAAACGCTTTGTCCTTCGGATTTTGAGACTCAAGGGATGATTGTTGATGATGAGATCAATGCGACAATTGTCAGACCTCTACCTGCTGGGGCAAGGCTTCATGCAATTGTGGACGCTTGTCATAGCGGTACTGTGCTAGATTTACCATATCTCTGTAGGATGGACAGGTAACTACAGCTCAATCTTCTGTTATGTTTATGTGCATAATGTTACTCCAGCAATCTGTTTTGTGCTTATTGTTGCTGTATGTATTATTTATTTATTCGTTCTGGTGTGTGGATCTAGAAACGGGAAGTATGTATGGGAGGATCATCGCCCTAGATCAGGTGTTTGGAAAGGAACAAACGGTGGAGAGGCCATTTCCTTTAGTGGTTGTGATGATGATCAAACCTCTGCCGATACCTCAGTAAAGTCTTTGACAAAAATTTTAAACTGTTATTTATGCTAGAGCAGCAATGTCTCCTTTTCTAACATAAGGCCGTTAAAAGAAACAAAGCTAACGCTTCACATGTGCAGGCTTTGTCCAAGATTACTTCGACTGGTGCCATGACTTATGCTTTCATCCAAGCCATCGAGCGTGGACATGGAACTACATATGGGAACATATTGAATGCAATGCGATCTACCATCCGTAACACAGATAATGGTGTTGGAGGTGGTATTGTGACATCTCTTATCTCCATGCTTTTGACAGGAGGGAGTCTTGGCGGGTTAAGACAGGTATGATACAGAATCTGATGTTTATTAGCAGTATTTTGATTGGAAATGGCATGCCAAATTATGTGACCCTTGATAAACTTGATCATATATCAATTAAGCTGGTTTCGATTAGCATCTTTAACTCTCCTTTGAACGGTCTTTGCTGCAGGAACCACAGTTAACTGCCCATCAAGCATTTGATGTGTATGCAAAGCCTTTCTTCTTGTAAGTTTTGGTGCAGGATCGCCAATTTATTTCTCATAATCATTCATTAATCATTCCCAAGCCTCCTATTCGTGTATACAGTTCCCGGAGAAACCCAATTTTGTATCTGCTTGTGTTTAATGTATTGTTTACCAATACTGTGTTTTCCTTGTTCTTGGATGTTGATCGATGGGTGTTAGGTATGCTGTGTAGATCCGATTTCGAACAAGACCCTAACCGATAAAATCTGTATCTGAAACTTCCTTGCACTGGAACAAGTATAACCTGCACCTAGTAAACAATGTAAGCAGGAGTTCGAACCACATTAGTCTTTTTCCCTGTTAAGAGTTGAAACCCTATGTTTTTTCTTCCATCAGACGGAGTCAAAAGCTGTGGCATCTCAAATAATTCAACATGTGAATGGTTTTGAATGAGCGGCGACATTTTTCAACGTATGCTCGAATAGAATAAAATCGAAGAACAAGATGCAAAGTATTGTAGCAAAGGGCATCTTAACAACATTGGAAATTTGGAATATATAAGAGCAACTCCATCCCGAAAAAATAAGTTGGCTCAAAGACCATTTAATCCACCCAAATGAATAGTAATTGATCTGTGATTGGTCAAATGTATCTTCACTTCTAAAACTAAATAGCCTAGTTAATTTTATTAAAATATTATTTATTTTTAATCTTTGACATTTTTTTATTTATAAAAAAATATTATTAATTTATGACATTTTATTTATTTATTTATTTTTAAGTTTTTTGGCCGAAAAATATGGATCATTGATCTAAAAATCGAACTGTCCAGATTGTGCCACGTCACTAGTCGTTTGGTTTGAATTTCAATTTTTTTTTACTGTTGGAAATCCAACGACCCAGAAAACTAGCAGTTGGAAATCCAACGAACGAGGCTTAGCCACGTGGCCCATGTCCCGCCCCCCTTTAATGCGCCTGACGCAAAAAAAAAAATTGTGTAGTCCGCTGACGTCATGAGGGCGTTAGCATGACGCCAGATAGGCCGGTTTCTACCTCAGCCCATTTTGGACCGACCTACAAACTGACTTGGACTTTGAACTAGCCTATTTTTAAGGATGGAGGGGTTTTTTTGGGTGCCAGCCTATTTTTTTAAACTTTGAGCCAGCCTCTTAGAGGGCTGGAGTTGCTCTAAAGTCCCACAATTTGAGGATGATGATCACAACATCTTCTCTTCCCTTTTTCCTCAGACTCTCTCCCCATGTTGATGCCTGTACAATGCTCAAACTGCCATGAAAATGTGCAGCTACTACCGGCAGGTGCAGCCACCATTTGCTGCCCCGTAAGCCACGTTGCCACGTACACAGCCCCGTACTCCTACTCCCACCACTACTCATCTCATCAACTTCCACTCCCAGCCAGGCCTATGCCCCCGTACAGCCAATTACCTCCAGGGCCACCTACGTTGGCTCGAGGCTACAAGCGAGTTGTGATATGTGCTGTGTCGTATACGAACTACAAGCATGAGGTTAAGGGCTGCATCAATGATGCAAACTGTATGACTTATTTACTTGTCAACCGGTTCCAGTTCCCCGATTCCTCCATTCTCATGCTTGTTGAGGAAAAAATTTAGAGTACATAACTCTAACACAAATGTTGGAGAGACAACACAAGTAAACAAATTACTTGTATTACACACAAAATATTACAACACACACTTTCAAGGACACTCTTTCACTAGAACACTCACACTCCTACAAGACTACCCTTACTTCTCACTCTCACTTGGCTCTCTCTTACTTCTTCTTCTTGATTGCTTTCACACTTTGTTACAATCTTACACACACACACACACACCTATTTATAGGTGTGGTTGCCGACATAAATAATGCTAGAATTTTCTAGCATATTATTACATACACAACAACCGACTTGCTTTCCTAAAAGGCTTTGAGTTCTCCTAGCTTCTAATACATTCTTTAGCTTAGATATTTAGGTGGATAACCAACTTAAATTGCTGGAATCTTCCAGCTACTTTTGCTGACAAAGATTGCTAGATTTTTCTAGCTTTTTCATGCATTGGTTTTAGATTGGATCACTTGTCTTAGGCCACACCAATTGGGCTGGTGTTGATTTTCAACACTCCCCCTCAACACCAGCTCATTCTTTTCTACATGCTGAGTTGACAACGAAACTTTTCAAACTTGCTGGTACTCAAACCTTTAGTGAACAAGTCTGCAACTTGTTCATCTGTATTGATTTGTCTCATCTCAATCTCTTTTTGCAAGACCTTCTCTCTAATGAAATGATAGTGTACCTCCACATGTTTGGTTCTTGCATGAAAGACTGGATTTTTCGCCAAGCGAATTGCTGATTGGTTATCACAGTATAATGGTACTGGATAATCTACTGGTTGATGTAGATCACTCATCAACTGTACCAGCCATGCATTCTCTTAAGTTGCCATTGCTGCTGCTCTATACTCTACTTCTGTGGTTGACAAAGACACCATTGGTTGTCTCTTGCTGCACCACAAAACTATTCCAGAACCAATTCTGAAGACATACCCAGTGGTCGATCTTCTGGTGTCATGATCTCTTGCAAAGTTTGCTCACAATAACCAATTAACTTGCAGTCTTCACCTTTCTTGTACAAAAGACCATAGTCAATTGTACTCTTCACATATCTCAGTATTCGTCAAACTGCTTCCAAGTGAGGCTTCTTTGGATTTTGCATGTACTACTGACTCATCACACCAACTGCATAAGAAATGTCAGGTCGAGTCAAGGTTAAGTAGATTAGACTACGTACCAATTGTCGA